CACTCTGGGAGGCTGAGGTGGGAGGATTGCTTGAGCTCAGGATTTCAAGACCAGCCTGAGCAAGACGGAGACCCCGTCTCTACTATAAACAGAAAGAAATTAACCAAACAACTAAAAATTAGTCGGGCACAGTGGAGCGTGCCTGTATTTCTAGCTACCTGGGAGGCTGAGGCAGGAGGATCAGTTGAGCCCAGGAGTTTGAAGTTGCTGTGAGCTAGGATCATGCCACGGCACTCTAGACCAGGCAAGCGAGTCAGACTGTGTCTCAAAAAAAAAATAAATATATATATATGTATATATATATATGAATTCAATACTCATTGACAACCTGCCTTGTAGATGGCAAATAGGTATATGAGCTATTTAGAAGAATATGAGCCAATATGTTAAAAGAGTTTCTTTTTTGTTGGCAAATAGGAGTGGCAAAAATTATTTCTTTCTAATGTTTTTACTTGTCTGTATTTCTTTTCTTTTTTTTTTTGAGACAGAGTCTCGCTTTGTTGCCCAGGCTAGAGTGAGTGCCATGGTGTCAGCCTAGCTCACAGGAACCTCAAACTCCTGGGCTCAAGCAATCATGCTGTCTCAGCCTCCCGGGTAGTTGGGACTACAGGCATGTGCCACCATGCCCGGCTAATTTTTTCTATATATTAGTTGGCCAATTAATTTCTTTTCACTCTTGCTCAGGCTGGTTTTGAACTCCTGACCTTGAGCAATCTGCCCACCTTGGGCTCCCAGAGTGCTAGGATTAGAGGTGTGAGCCACCGCGCCCAGCCTCTTCTCTTACTTCTCTTTGGACAAGTCCCTGAGCAGCTGCTCCTCTGAGTACCTGTTTCAAATCTGGGGATAATCATATAGGGTTAGAGGTTGGCAGGGTAGGCAGGATTGAGAAAGGAAGGAGCAAGAGAAGTACAGACTGATTACAGAGCTGTGTCCTGGGTTTTAAAACGGGTGGGGAGTAGGAGTAAAAACAGGGGCTTTACAACAAGAAGGTGAATTGGTCAACTGGTGGGTTAGAGGACTCATGAGATTATACAAAATTTCTCATGCTTAAAGGGAGCACTGTCAGAGGTAACCCTTGTAAAGAGGGGGTAAGTTTGTGATGGATTTATCCTTCATGGTATCTAGGAACAATATAAACATTCAGGCATAATTTATTTATTTATTTATTATTTT